TAGAGTGAAAAGGATGAAGGAGAGCTTTAGCAGACTAGACCCTCCACAGTTGGACAGTCTGTAAGGGGAGAAAGTGAGTAAAAGGAAACCCTTTAACGACAAGGAAGGTATCTCTGGCAAACATGATCAGCCGAGCTTTTGTTGCAGACAAGATATGGCTAGTTCAAGAAAGCTGAGAAGATAAACCTTTGTGTGACATGAAGTGATATTAACAGGAAAGTGACAGGTCTTAAATTAGATCAAATGACTAAAAATAAAAAAACGTCAGCCCTCATTGCTGGGGGCACCACGGGCAAGATCAGAAAGTTAATACATCTATTGTTCAACCACAACTATCAAGGTTTCTTCCTGAAGAAATACTAACAGGTTCTGGCATACTTAGCTCCTGACAGCACAGCAATACCTAAGGAAGGTGCACTGCTGAAACACAGCCTTCATCATTACTAGATGCACTGCATCAATCCTTGTGAGGAAGTTCAAACAAGCTTTGGCCCTTTTCACTTGAGGACATCCGTCAATGTCAGCCATGATTAGGTCTTGAAAAAATACAAATTTCTTGGGAAGACTAGACTAACGTCCTTGCAGGTCCGACATGACAAATGTCCTGTATGGTCAGCGTCAATTCTTATCAGCACCTCATTAAAAATGTAATGATCACATGAATATTTACCAAGTTTAATTATGGCTCCATATAGCTATTCTGTCATGCCCTGCACCCCCTTTTCCTTTCCAGGAGGGCAGTCTCTCATCTAAGTTCCAGCTGAATGCGTCCTTCCACCTTGATGAATATTGCAAAAGTCCAAGGAGAGCTAGCCGCTGATGGAATCCACCTCAATCAGCAAGAGAATCAATGGCATACATTCACATTTGCAAAGGCTCTAATTGGCAGCAGTAAAATTCAGCAATTTACCCATGAGAGAAATGGGAGTGGAGTGCAAGGAGATCAGCTCATTTGTAACAGAATTTTTTTTTTTTTTAAACAACTTGTCCTTCTAAAAACAGGAGGCCTGCAACAGATGAGGAGCAGATCAAGCAAAACTATTAATGTCTCTGCTTGTCTGGACTAGTTATTGAAGTAGGGATGCAACACTGGAGCTTTTTCATTAAGGTTTTAGCCAGAACTGGCAGTATTTGGTTTATTTCTCTTTACCTGTGTTCTGCTCAAATATAGTCTCAACTAATATAATGTAAAGATCTGATATCACAACTGTTATTCCTTCTGACAAATAGTATTCAGTAACTGGCCTTTTGAAAAGTTGATAGAACCGATGAGCAGTTTAAAACAAAAATTAACAATTTATGAAGTTAGTACTAATTGTTAGACCCTTAATTCTCAATATTTCAAAATTATATTTTCAATTATACAACAAGAAATGTGTTGTATGTATTCTTTATGTACACTACTGTGCAAAAGTCTTGAGCTGCTCCTCATTTTGTAAATGTTGCTAGGAAAATGGTAAATAGACGGAGCAATTCATTGAAACAATGGAAATGCAGTAAAAAGGCAAAACACAGAGTTTGTACATTTCTAATGTGCTTAAACATTTTCCACCATTCTTCAACACAGTCGCACCTCTCCTGGGCAAACGTTTAAGTAATTTTTAAAAGTAGTGTTTAGGAATAGTTCTCCAGATTTCTCGAAGGACATTCAAAGTTCTTTGGATGTTGGCTGTCAAGATGATCCCACACTGCTTTAAAAATGTTGAGGTCAAGACTCTAAGGAGGCCAATCTATGACTGATAGTGTTTCATTGTGTATTTTTCTGTCCAGGTATGCTTTTCCTGCACTGGCACTGTGTTCGGGATCACTGGAAAGCATCTGTCTCTCAGATGCTTTTGCCACTGACTTTCAGTCCTTTTCCTGTGCGATTTCCTCAGCCTTTTCTCCTAGGTTCTCTTCGTTAAGACTGACTTCTTGACAGCCCATACTTCCATTGAGATCATTTCTGATGAGACTTTGGTGAACAGTAGATGGCTCAACTGAATGCAACTCTCACGTCCTGTGTTAGATCTTTGTCGGATTCCCAACCCCCGCATTTCTTCAGGCACTTTCAGATACTGTTCATACATTGGAGATAGCTTGTTAAACATCACACTTCTTTTGTCCACCACCTGCAACGCACTATACATCATGTCAAGATATGGCATAAGTTTGGATAATAGCTCGTTGGGAATCACCTTGTTGGTGCAGAACTGTTGCCATATTTTGCAAATTCCACTAAAGAAAGTAACAAAGTACACCAAAATGCAAAAAACAGTCGGTTCTTTAAGTTTTCTGCAGACAGAATTGGCTGATCCCTTGACTTATTCTATGCTTGAATGATTGATAGGTCAGTGTTAAGTGACTAAGCAAATAAAGTAACCATGCTCTAAAAGACTGGACTGAAAAAGCAGCCAACAACAATCTTGAAAAATCTTCAGAAAGGCTGGAGAACTAGTGCTCAAGGCCACTTCAAACAAAAAAACAAAAAAATCAAAAGACTTTTGCACAGTACAGTCTTCTCAACACAACAAAAACAAAAGGTAAACAAAACCTGATAAAACAGCTCCCTATGTGTTTATTCAGATTATGAAAAGTCATTTAGCTGATAATCAAGTGAACAGAGCCTCAAGTTGATACAAATTGTGTTGACAACACAAATAATCCATCTGGGAAGAACCAGCCTTTGTATCCTTTTTGATGCCATCTCCGGTGTTTAATCACTGAACACGAAACACACTGAACAGTAAAACAGGCCTTTATAAGAGGGGGACATATTGAGTGACATCTTCTTAGCTCTTTGAGTCCTTTGCTGTCCTGCTGGGCAGCAAGCTGATGCATCCTCACTTTGTCTCAGATGTAAAAATTCTGTCCAAAGTGCCGAACTTGAAAGTCTATCCCAGTGGAAATGCAGGTTTATTATTTGTTCGGGTGCTCAGTAGAAAAGAGATGATCGATGCACAGTTTAGGGTTGAAAACATCTTTATTTCTAAAAATACAGAGGCTTTGGTATGTCATACTCATACATTCCAAGGCCTTAGGTTCCAAAGAAAAACATGCTGGTATCCCTATTTGCATTTTACCTCAGAATGCAGTTTGTGTTAAATTTCACCATTCTAGCATTATAAATAGTATGCCCTCTTTGTTGATATGCAACTCATATAATAAAGGGTCTGGAAATCCTGATGGAAAAAATGTTTAAGTGCTCAACAGATGTTGTAAAATGAGCGGAAAAGTGTTCCACTGGCGTTATGAATATTCCTCTCCTGACCTGACTCAATTCCAGACATACAGAAAGAAATGAGGGGGGGGAAAAAAGTTTGAAGTAGTAGTGTTTTATTCATCTTTATGTAAATCCAGTCATTTACGGTTGCCTTAACAAATCAGGAATCAAGTGTGTCAACATCTAGCAGAGAAGGAAGTGCATATGGGGATTACAAAAGAACAGAAATAGAACAAAAGCAGATCGAGGGAGAAACCCTCCGTCGGTTAAAGTCTACAAATCCTGACACGAATAAAATGAACATGTTTTTAAATTGTCTGAATTCGCTATGTGCTGTTGAAAGTTTACAGTAATACTCTAAATTCTAACCTCAGTAAGCTATTGTTCATATCAGAGTGACTTGGAGGCTGAGCCCCGAGCTGCTTCACACCATAGAAAAATATTTGCATTTTTAAATGTACATTGCTGAATTTCTAAAGAATGGATGAAAACGATGATTCTCACCTTGCAACTTCTTCTCACTCTGGTGTTAGGCCCAAGCCAGTTTTTTCTTTTCTTTGCATCCTACACAACTAAGAAAGAGAAACTGCTCGTTGCTACATAGCAAATGTTACAAGTATATGCTCAAAACCAATATTCCAATAAGTAAACCCCACACAGTATTTATTTATATATATATGTATATATATATATATATATGTATATATGAAATCAAATACACTTCAAAAAAAGTTGAGATGCTAAGTGAAACATTTAAAATAGAACTAAGACATTGTATCAAATGTTGAAATTGAGAAATTATGCTGTATATTGAAAAATATATTACAACTTTGAATTTCATGCCAAATTGGCAGACCTGGCTTGCAGACAGATCAGTCAGCAGACACGCTCTGACTACGAAGCCATGCTGTTGCAATATATGCAGAAAATGGTTTGTCATTGTCTTGCTGAAATAAGCAAACCATTCACTGAAAAGTCCTTGTTGGGATGGCACATGTTGCTGGAAAAACTTGCATATATTCAGCATTTAAAGTGACTTCAGAGGGGTGTAACCACCATACCATGTGCACTAATCCTTATATAATCGGAGGATTTTGGCTATTAAACTATGCACTAATGAGCCAAAAGTGTGGGCTACATTCTGTTTCCCAAATCTCAACTTTTCCCTCCCCCTACTGATACCCAATTCAAAATGAGCATTTCTCAGTTACAACATTTAATGTGTTGACTTGTCTTTTTTCCCCCCAATAAAATCTAATATAATTTCTATAATTGGATGGCATTTGCAAACCACTTAAGGCTTAACACTTTCGCTTAATTATCATGATGACTGTGGTTAATATTCTTATAATATGGCCCATCATTTTTGGGTAAAGGCAACTACTATTTCAAGCACTGTTAAATTTCTCAACATAACGCTCCGTTCCGTGCACGGAAATAGAGCACACTTGATTCCAGGTAAAACGGATGTCAATTTCATCTTCACATTTCAAAATGCTCCATATCCTGCTGAGGCAGTAAGGTCACGATCTCACTGCAAACATGCACATTTCAATGCTTTCTTCTTGCCATAAATTTTCCACAGTTCTGACTTCTTCTGGAGTGAATCGTCCTTTTGTATGATAACAATGTGCATACTGAATCACTGCAAAGAGCTCTGTCCTTGCCAAAAATCTCACCAAGTGTACTTGTACAAGTCTGCAGGCGCTTTTAATACTGTACTGAACATCCAAGAACGAAAAAAAAAAAGTTTCAAGTGGACAAAATAAACGTAACTAATTTCAAATAACCTTAAGTGAGGTCTGAGGTCCTGGCCGTTCAGTTGTTGTCTGCTCTGAGGCAGTAAGACGATGCCTCCTGGGGCGACAGAGGTGCAGTGTAGATCACCAGTTCTGGTTGGTGAATAAATTTTTCTGTTTTGAAGTTATTTCACTAAAATAATTCTGGTCCAGTGGTTTCTGAATGTTTATTGTCTGAATCTTTTTATTCAAGACCAAAGCTTTAGCCTTGCAACTTTACCTCTAATCACCCCACCACGATACAGAGAAGTGAAACGGTATGAGGAGTGATACTCCTTACCTTTGCCTAGAGCAGATATCACTACATCGCCTGACTGAATTGTAAAATCTCATACTGAAGAGATTTGCTTCAAATAAAACTAATGGACTCAGACTTTGTGTCTGTGAGTGTGTAGCTACATGTTCACATGCATGTTTGAACAGTCAATGAGAAGCAAACATGACTGAGCTTTGCATTTTGTGTGCGTATACAAAAAAGGGCCTTTGTATAGCAAATGTGTTTTATGTGCTTATGTGTGCGTGTGTTTGTTGAGCGTGTCTGTGTGATCCAGCAGTAGCTACGAAGTGTTCGATGTGTTGGGACTCCAGCCCATTTGATAAGCTCTCTCCAGGGTTCTCTTGCAGTCCTGCATCACTGTGCTGAACACAATGTGAGGGTACTGGACCACCAGCCTCTCCACTGTCTCCTCGTTGACCTGCAAATACGAACACAAAGACATGCGCTGTTAACATATGATCGTGTTTTGTCTTAGCTTTAGACCTTCTAACACACTACTGTTGCTTCTATCAATCTTACATTTTTAAAGTTCCGGTTTAAGGAGCCAGCTTATGTTTGAGCACATCACCGAAATAATAAAGAGTTAAAGTCCAACGCAAAAATTTTAGTATTGGAATTCTGTCTATTCAGATGGTGGTGGGTTTATAGTTGTTTTACACCAAGGGTGGGGAACTCCAGGCCTCGAGGGCCGGTGTCCTGTAGATTTTAGATATAACTCTGGGTCAACACACTTGAATCAAATGATTAGTTCATTACCAGGCCTCTGGGGAACTTAAAGACATGTTGAGGGATTATGTAGCCATTTAAATCAGCTGGACATATCTAAAACCTGCAGGACACAGGCCCTTGAGCCCTGAAGTTCCCCCACCCGTGCTTTGCACAGTAGTAGGATGGATGCTACAGTTCTTGACATCATCCTTAGTTGTAGTATTACTGAAGTTTAGTCTGCTATGATGGCTGGAACAGAAAGACCTTAGAGAAATGCTTCTTTAGTCTCACTCAGTATGCAATATTATAAAACCTTGGATAAACAAAATGTAAATGTGCACTGTGTCATTTATTTCCTTCTCCTTTTCAAAATGCTACCACAGGCATTCACTAGCCCTTGGGATCTAAGTCCACCTTAATGATATGATCGTAGTTTTATTAATGAAAGAAAACAGGAGAAGTCGTAGATATGTAGACTAGCTTTTGTTTGCAGCACTAATGTCTTTCAATATTTCCATTCAATCACTTAATAATGTATTTTCAGTGGCAGTGATGGAGGATAAAAAAAAAATAGTCCTCCTGTCTAAAAATATATGCTTACAGGCTTCAAGAAAAACAAGTCACATCAAATGGATTCATTTTGAAGTTACTGAAGAAGTGACGTACAAACATTTCCTCAGACAGTATTTCTTTTCTAGCCTAAAAAAAAGAAAATATCCTGTGACTGGCAGCTCTCTGGGTGAAAATGCCGTGATGATGCCAGAGGTCAGAATGCTTCAAGCTGATAGGAGGCCAACAGTAATTTAAATAAGCATTTGTTACAACTGAAGTATGCAGAAGAGTATCTCTGAACACACAACACGGGGAACCTTAAAGCAGATGAGCTACAGCAGCAGAAGATTACACCGGGTGCCACTCCAGTCAGCTAAGAATGAGTAACTGAGGCTGCTATTCACATGGGCTCGCTAAAATTGACCAACAGAATAGAGAAAATGTTGCCTGGTCTGATGAGTCTTGAGTTCTGCTGTAATATTCAGATGGTAGGGTCAGAATTTGGCATAAACAACATGAAAGCATGGATCTATTCTGCCTTGTATCAGTGGTTCATGCTGGCAGCGGTGGCGTAATGTGTGGGTACAATTTGGGCCTCTTAGTACCAACTGAACACTGTTTAAAAAGCCTACCCGAGTAGGTTGTTGACAATGTCCATCATTCCTGACTACAGTGTACCCAGGATACAATTTTGGATGTGCAGCCATCAAATCTGCAGCAACCGTGTGATGCCTTCATGACAATATTCCCCCAAATTTCTGATAAAGGTCCAACCTGATACTAGTGAGATATAAGCAAGTGTATTCTTCTACAGATTCAGTGCAGCAGACTTTGTTCCGGTTGTTTTCAGTTAAAAGCAAGTGATTTGCGAGAGGATTATAGAATTTCCTCCATGGACAGGAGGATAAAGAGCAAAAAAAAAAAAAAACACTGTTGTAAAATGAATACATAGACAACTTTCTTTGGACAGAGAAAAAATGGCCTGTAAATGGTAAATGGCCTGTATTTATATAGCGCTTTTCTAGTCCCTAAGGACCCCAAAGCGCTTTACATATCCAGTCATCCACCCATTCACACACATTCACACACTGGTGATGGTAAGCTACATTGTAGCCACAGCTACCCTGGGGCGCACTGACAGAGGCGAGGCTGCCGGACACTGGCGCCACCAGGTCCTCTGACCACCACCAGTAGGCAACGGGTGAAGTGTCTTGCCCAAGGACACAACGACCGAGACTGTCCAAGCCGGGGCTCGAACCGGCAACCTTCCGATTACAAGGCGAACTCCCAACTCTTGAGCCACGATCGCCCCAAAAGCCTTTAAGATTCCCGTAAAGGTTATTAGGACACAGCCAATTGCTGACTTGAACTTCTGGTTAAATACAACTCTTTTTTGGTAGCAATTCATTTTTTTTACAAGCACTTAATAAATGTATAATATAAATACATTTAAGCTATAAAATGATAAACAGTAATGATAAATTTTGACTATTGTCCAGGTTGGAGGTGCCATGATTTGTGCGATCACTCACCCCATTTCAGAATAGATTTCCAGGAAGTTGTTGGTTTATTCTTTAAAATAAAAGCTTACAAGGATATACATTTAACAGAAATATGGTTTTAGGTCCAATAAACTATTAAATTGATTAAATAAAAATATGTTTAATGACCTAATTAAGACTAGCAGAAACCCTGCTTGGCCTCTTAGTGCCCTGTACAAATTGTGTACTGAACTACTATGAACGATAGCTGATTCTGTAGGAGCATGCCGTGTGCGTGCTCATATGCACATACAGCTAGACTGTCGTTATGGGTGAAGCACCAGTGGACAGCTGAGATCACCAGGCTAATAAGGCCCTCATGTTCTCAGAGGACAAGAAAGACAAGGAGCTAATAGCTACTCTAGCACTTCTCAAACACTGTCGGGCCACTTAGAGCCAAGAGTGAGAAAGCCTGAGAATATGACAAAGAACAGAGGCACAGTAACCCTAGAGACCTTGAGGGGTTAACCGCAACCCATCCAGAACCAACCCCCCCTACCCACCCGTGAGCATGACACTTTCCAGGGGAAATCATGCATAAACACTTACACACATGTTGACGACACAGTCATCTGATGTTGCCAGTGAAAAAACAAGTTTCACAGTTTCCCTGAGCTTAACGGCCAAACGCCCGTTGGTGTCTGTGTTTAGTATCACAAGAGTCTTGCATCGTCACAGTTCCCTGACTCTTGCTTGGGTTATGATCTCTTCTGGGTGTCATTATATCTGTCTAATTCATTATTGTTCTTCATTGAATGCAAACTTCTTAAGCAGTGGAAATCAGCAATTTATAGTGACAAAACAATGGAAAGACAAATGCAAGACAGACAGAGTTCATTTATTTCTCTAAATCTGCTGAAGAGAATGAATGAGCCGGGAGACCACCAATGTCTCCTGGTTCACAGAAGGTGGATGGAAACTCTGCATAAAACAAGTAAATCCAATAAGACTAAAAGGCAACAACATCCTGTTAGTCTTTCCTTTGACTGCCAAAGTACAAAAAAGCGAGCTGAAGTTAAGGTGCTTGATGCCAAAACCCAGAGTCTTTTAGGAAAGCAGTGTTACAAGACTAATGTAATAAAATCACAACAAGCACAGGGTCAAAAAAGGAATTCTTAATGTCATCTCTCTTTTTTTCTTAGTGGGAGGGGGAGACCTCATGTTAAATACTCAAGATGCCTACTCTCAGCTCTCTCTTTTCACTCAGTGTTGAAGAGAAAGACAATAACAAACAGTAGAAGATGTTGTAATTTTAAATAACTCTCTGAGCTCCAATTCTGGAAAAACACTTTGAATCATCAGCAGGCAAACAAACGAGAAACGAGAAATGGAAATGAGAAAGTTCCAGCAACTCATTCACCGTTGTGATCAGGGATACTTTAGTAAAGCTGAGTCTTTAATATAACAGTGTTTCAGGATATTGCTTTAAAGATTTCACATTATTATAAGATATTATATTCCAATTGCTACGCAAATCATCACATATCCTCAAGTACTGTGAAAGATAAAAGTGAACAAGTGAAGCGTTGCCGTGGAGTATACATCGAGCCATGAAAGGGGATAACAATCAAAGAGTTCCTGCAGATGTCTGAATATCTCAGTATTTTTCTACACGAGAATCGCTGGCTGGGCCATAAGTTACCCTCACAAGGCCTTTTATGGTATGTTTTTGGATGTGTTTCAGGCCACCTGTTTTTATGCACATTTTGAATGCGTCACAAAAAAATCAGGGTGGAAATCACCCTTTCCCTTCTCTCCTAGTTACACTTGCACACTTGTAGCTACTTAAGTTTCTGTGATGTATACAGTTGCTTCTTTGTATAATCCCAGACTGAATACACAATGTTTTGATTAGGGCTTGGTAGGGGTCATACCATCTGTTGCAGGACTCCCCATCCTCTTTGTACCTGGATATGGTCCTTCATGACTTCGCTTTGGTCGGCCTGAAATGCTTTAAATTACACGATCCAAGACTGTCCTCTTCATCTGCAGCGATTTAATAGCATCTAATGAAAACATATGGTTGGATGTGCCCACTTTGTCATACAGTCACAAAAGTAGTGGAAAAATACATTATAGTGAATTTTGTTTTGCAGCTTTTGAAAGATTGATAAAAAAAAAAAACCTGCTTTGCCATTTGGATGGAAACTTGTTTAATCATGTCAGGTTCTCACACAAGCTCCTATAACTAGTAGGTACTTATGGTTTTGGGAGACTAGGCCGGTTCTAGCTATAGGCAGATGTGGGATCAGCCAACCCAAACTGACGAAAGCAATGAAAAATTAGTCATATTTTTTCAGCCAATAGAAAAGCACCCAAGAAAGCATGAGTAATGTGCAAACTGCCTAAGGCCCGCTTCCAAAGTCTCCCCTTGTACCGCCTCTTAAAGTGATCAGAGGCACAAACACACAGAGGTCAGAAGAAGCAGACGGCTGTGTCTCTCGGAGGCTGCACAGGTGTCCGACTATGAACTCAGAGCAACAAGTGAACTACACCAACATGGTCCCACTGCTTGTGAGGCAATCACACACACTCCTGGTTAAAAGTGTTGTGAAGCTTTCTCCCCCTCCTTTGGTTTAGGCTATCACGTGTAATTTCAGGATAGATAATTGCTGAC